GCATGAATGTATATGCATATACATGTGTGTGCGTATATATATATATATATATATATATATATATATATATATATATATATATATATATATATATATATATACACGTCGGTTTAACGTCACGGAACTCCCTTTTTGATCAAGGGCTAGGACGGTCCTCCCCCGTGAAGGGCAGGCAGGATTTGGCAGGTGGATACCGTAACCCCGAGTGGATGCCCTTCCTAACCTCGGTCCGTGGCCGGGATTCGAACTCGTGCGCTTGCAGACCCTCTGGCCGACAGCCGCGCGCGTTACCACTGTAATATATATATATATACACTTATATATATATATATATATATATATATATATATATATATATATATATATATATATATATATATATATATATAGTAGTAAAAACGTCTGTGCTCCGACTGCTCGCTCGAGCCCGATCTCACGGCGAGAAAACGGCATACTTGAGAAGTCAAATGCAGTTGTTGTAGGGGGAATCGCCACCGTGACACAAGTGCGTTTGATTAGGAAGGGCATCCAATCAGGCAAGAGTGACACTGCCAAATGTCCTCTCAAATAATGACTAGAGAGAGGCCGAAATATATTTGTGTGTGTGTATGTATATATATATATATATATATATATATATATATGTATGTATCTATCTATCTATCTATCTATCTATCTATCTATCTATATCTATCTATCTATATGTGTGTGTGTGTGTGTGTGTCTATATATACATACATACATACATACATATATATATATATATATATATATATATATATATATATATATATATATATATATATATATATATATGGTCTAGTGGTTAGAGCACTGGACTCCGACCCTCGTAAAAATGCCTGCACTCTGACTGCTGGCTCAAGCCCGAGAAAACGACATATCGGCTTGAGAAGTCAAACGCAGGTGTCGTAGGGGAAGTCACGCGCCGAACCACGGTTGATTAGGAAGGGCATCCAATCAGGCAAGGGTGTCACTGCCATATAACCTTTCAACAGTGAATTGAGAGAGTGGAATGAGTGGCTGTTAAAAAAACATATACATATAAAAGCTTTTTTCTGTCTATCCATCTCTCTCCCTCTGTTTTTTTTTTTTTTTTTTAACAAACGACCTCCCATTCGAATTTGTCGAATCTCTGCGTTGTGAAATGTATGTAAGTACCACTTCACAATACAGTTCAATGGCCCCGGCCTCGCCATTGGCTGTGGTCGTCATCCGACTTTCTTAAGGGATACAGTATCTTTATTGATAGAACATATGTTACATTTACATATTTCTCTCTAATCTGCTATTTACAACTGTTTGCTCTATATCTAAGTCCTTAATACTAGTATATTTTACAGGTTTGTTACGTGTCCCTCTTAGACAGAGTAGCGATGAGCGTAACAATGAGAAGGCCAGTCTACATCGTATCCATGCCATGACGCAACTCTTTGGTTGTTGTCTCTTTTCTGATAATTGCTGAGCCAGGTATGAATAAAAAGTGACCGCCTTCGGTGCCATTCCTCCGGAGGTCGTGAACACGAGCCGCGTGAAAGTGCCTTGTTCTACTTCTCGCACTCGTTCACCGTATTCTGTCATCTTGTCATTCTCGTGCTTTATATGGGCGGATCTCAATTCTTGGGCGCGGTTGCTTGTGGCCATGGGGTTGAAGATGCGTATGTCAAAGAAGGCTCGCTGCCCCCGTGCCCAAAATCCGCTTGCACTGATGTCCAAGCGAGCGTCGTCGGCGGAGTTGGTAGACTGGAGTGAGAAGTTGCGACCACCTGTGGGGATGAGGGGAGGCTCCAAACTGATGTCACGGGACACCTCGCTCAGCATTTCCGCAGTCATATCTTTCACCTCGTGGCGCATGCAGACGAAGCCCCCCCCCCCCCCTGCACGTCATGGCGTGGTTCGGGTCGAAGGGTGAACCGCACGTGCATTGCTGGTGAAGGTCCTTGATTGGCCACCCATATCTTAGGGCTAAGGCATCCACAAACTCTTGTTTATTTAGACTAAAGCCTTTTGTTTTGATGGGAAGACTGGTTAGCCAGTTTGAGGCGCCGACCTCTCTTGCCATCTCTATCCTCCTCTTCATCTCCTCGGAGGTGTGTGAGAGTGTTTCCTGTAGCTGTGTCCTCTGCATCATCTCTCGCTCCCTTGTTATTTCCTTTCTAGTAATTTGTTGTTGTCTTGTGTCTGGCTGTGTGTGTGTAGATTGTGTTTGTATGGCTTCAATTAGGCTGGCTGTAAGCTTGACAGAGTTTTGATATTCTGTGTTTGCGACTTTGCCAGGGTCTATTATGCCGAGTCCCCCCATCCTTGGTGGTAGCTCGAGAATGACTCTATCTACGGTTGTGGGATTTCGCCCACCCGATAGTGCTGGTATCAAGACCTTCTCGATTGTCTCTTCAAGTGGAGAGAGTAAGGGCCCCACGTTTGGTACAGTCCGCATTAGAAAGTTCCATCTCTGTTTGACACCGAAGGTAAATGCTGAATATGCAGAGTGTGGTTCCATCAATGCGACTTGTGCCAGCATCTTCAACTCTCTTACCCATTCATCTACTTGTTTTTTTACATATTCCTCCTTGGCTGCTGTTGTGCCAAGGACTACTCCCAAGCGTTTCTCGCCACCAGTCTTTATCTTGACGTTTGTCTCGCAAAATGCTTCTCTGGCTTGGGCGAGAAACTCAGGCTTTACAAGTAGGACTGACTTGCTGGCATTGGGGTAGTATCCTTGTGGAGGGCCGTGAGTCTGGATTAGTTCCCACCATTTCCGGATGTCATCTACT